TTTTTTCACTTGAGAAATACTGCACCAAACATCTTAGTTAGATGTAAAATTGCGTGACTAAGAGCTCTGCAAAAACATCAAAATTAATGACAGATTTCTTGAGTTCTCTTAGATTAATTCTGACTATTTTGAGGAAGTGTATACTGGCTACGGCATCTCAATATGGACAAAGTACTATTGTCCTTCTTTTTTTTTTCAAGCGAAGGTCTTTTTAAGGGAGTATGCGAGCTCAGCTAGGCACCAGCCGAACCGAGGCATTCGGAAGCCCTAAGTCCCAGCCATTAGCTGTTGCTAGTCAGCCTGGAAGCCATTGCTCTAGGAAGTGAGCACAATAGAGTTAAGACCTAATGGGAGGAACACTCAGTGAGACATCAGCTCTGAGGATTAGACTGAGCGTTAAGCAGCCTGTTGTCAGTGGTGAGGGTGTATGGGGGTTAGGGGTTGAAGGAATATGTTGTCTGGCTGTGCCCACAATTCTTCAGTACCCTCCCTTATCACAGGATCAGGATGTTTAAGAAGTAAGAACATACCTCTCCCACTAGTGGGCTGTGGATAAGTGGCTGCTGTGGCTTAACACTGACTGATAAAAGGCCTTGTTGTTGTCAGCTTAATTCCTCTGCTTAACATACTGTATCTCATTAGACAAAAGCTCAGCAAAATGAATGACAAGATGTACAGTACGTTATATCAGTTACACACCTCACATTGGGCATGTTTGTGTGTGTTTCAGGATTTATGAGCATTTTAACTTCTTTGCTGTGTTTGCAAACCCTTTCTAGTCTCCTCCAGAGATATGTACAGTGAGGGAAAAAAGTATTTGATCCCCTGCTGATTTTGTATGTTTGCCCACTGACAAAGAAATGATCAGTCTATAATTTTAATGGTAGGTTTATTTGAACAGTGAGATACAGAATAACAACAAAAATATCCAGAAAAACGCATGTCAAAAATTTTAGAAATTGATTTGCATTTTAAAGACGGAAATAAGTATTTGACCCCCTCTCAATCAGAAAGATTTCTGGCTCCCAGGTGTCTTTTATACAGGTAACGAGCTGAGATTAGGAGCACACTCTTAAAGGGAGTGCTCCTAATCTCAGTTTGTTACCTGTATAAAATACACCTGTCCACAGAAGCAATCAATCAATCAGATTCCAAACTCTCCACCATGGCCAAGACCAAAGAGCTCTCCGAGGATGTCAGGGACAAGATTGTAGACCTACACAAGGCTGGAATGGGCTACAAGACCATCGCCAAGCAGCTTGGTGAGAAGGTGACAACAGTTGGTGCGATTATTCGCAAATGGAAGAAACACAAAATAACTGTTAATCTCCCTCGGCCTGGGGCTCCATGCAAGATCTCACCTCGTGGAGTTGCAATGATCATGAGAACGGTGAGGAATCAGCCCAGAACTACATGGGAGGATCTTGTCAATGATCTCAAGGCAGCTGGGACCATAGTCACCAAGAAAACAATTGGTAACACACTACGCCGTGAAGGACTGAAATCCTGCAGTGCCCGCAAGGTCCCCCTGCTCAAGAAAGCACATATACAGGCCCGTCTGAAGTTTGCCAATGAACATCTGAATGATTCAGAGGAGAACTGGGTGAAAGTGTTGTGGTTAGATGAGACCAAAATCGATCTCTTTGGCATCAACTCAACTCGCCGTGTTTGGAGGAGGAGGAATGCTGCCTATGACCCCAAGAACACCATCCCCACCGTCAAACATGGAGGTGGAAACATTATGCTTTGGGGGTGTTTTTCTGCTAAGGGGACAGGACAACTTCACCGCATCAAAGGGACGATGGAGAGCGCCATGTACCGTCAAATCTTGGGTGAGAACCTCCTTCCCTCAGCCAGGGCATTGAAAATGGGTCGTGGATGGGTATTCCAGCATGACAATGACCCAAAACACACGGCCAAGGCAACAAAGGAGTGGCTCAAGAAGAAGCACATTAAGGTCCTGGAGTGGCCTAGCCAGTCTCCAGACCTTAATCCCATAGAAAATATGTGGAGGGAGCTGAAGGTTCGAGTTGCCAAACGTCAGCCTCGAAACCTTAATGACTGCAAAGAGGAGTGGGACAAAATCCCTCCTGAGATGTGTGCAAACCTGGTGGCCAACTACAAGAAACGTCTGACCTCTGTGATTGCCAACAAGGGTTTTGCCACCAAGTACTAAGTCATGTTTTGCAGAGGGGTCAAATACTTATTTCCCTCATTAAAATGCAAATCAATTTATAACATTTTTGACATGCGTTTTTCTGGATTTTTTTTGTTGCTATTCTGTCTCTCACTGTTCAAATAAACCTACCATTAAAATTATAGACTGATCATGTCTTTGTCAGTGGGCAAACGTACAAAATCAGCAGGGGATCAAATACTTTTTTCCCACACTGTATATAATGACGAGATGCTCATGTCTCTGCCCTGACAATGGGAGTCGTTGTCTCAACGGTGGGAAGGCAGGCTTAGGTCCAAAATAAGCCCATAGAAACGCATTTGTCTTATTTTGGACCGATTTTGGCGAGAGTGAAACCTTTTGCTTCGCCCCTTCCTCTCTGGCTCCTCAGACTGCCTCAGGTGTGTGTGCGTGCATGTATTTGTGTGCGTGTGCATGTATGCCATACATGTCTAACCTTACCATGGCAGCCATCTGATTAGTGGTTTATTTTCGCTGCCTCCGCCATAAGTGGTTCAAGTGTGTGAGGGAGGTGAATGTTTACTCTGCAGGGAGAGGTGTGCCAGACAGTTTTAGCTGAGTGGTCTAAGGAGTGGTGGGAGAAACACACATACATACACACCACAGGGTTTAACCACAGACATGTTTCTTACATTTTCTAACACGAATACATGCAGCCTACTTGAAATATCTGACAAGAATTTGTCGATACAGCATGTGTTGTCGGTGAGTAAAAACCAATATCCCAGGTCTTTATGAGATAATGGTCACTGCCCTGTGTCTGTCTGTGTTTGGGTATAGTTCAACTCTCTAAGAAGAATAGTAGACCTATACTATCTGTAAATACCAGGCTTGTTGGTAGGCTAATCATTTAACAGCTCAGGGTGGGAAAGCACTAAAGTGGCCATCCCAGATTGAGTTAACCTCTTATAATGTAACCTATAGTTAAATATTAAGAACTGTTGTAGTAGCCACTAGGCAGTGTGTACATATAACCACTCGAGCAAGCAAAAGAAAAAACTCCAAACTGTGAACTTGAATCAAGGTGTAACTAAATTGCCTCAAACTCCATTGTATGCCCATAAGCCCAGTCCTGTTAAAGGGATACTTCGGGATTTTGGCAATGAGGCCATTTATCTACTTCCCCAGAGTCAGATGAACTAGTGGATACCATTTTCTCTGCTGCCGCACGGCAAGAGGTGCCAGTGCATCAAGTCTGACACCAACAGGCTCCTGAACAGCTTCTATCCCCAAGCTATATGACTGAAAAATAGCTAACAAAATAGCTACACTGACTGAGTATCTTTATTGACCTTTTATTTCAATATTTGCACTGTCTCTATGCACACTCACAGGGCCCTACACACTCACACACACTGTCACTCCAACACACACACAAACACTCACGCCATCATTTTCTCACTCACACATAATATGCATATACATTTATATTGACTCTACTCTGCTTATCTTACCCTGTTGCCTAGTCCCCTTACCCCTATACATATCTACTACCATCACTCCAGTATCCCTGCACATGTACATATGGTATTGGAACTGACTTTTTAAATATTTCCTGTATATAGTATGCTTACTTACACAATAAAGTAAGTTAAGTATTTCATATTTCCTATTCTTATTTCTTGTGTGTTTTTTCTAGTAATTATTGTTGGGTTTTGAGTTTGAAAGAAAGGCATTTCACTGTACTTGTGCATGTGACATTAAAACTTGAAACTATCCCTTTAAGGGGGGATGAGATGGTCTTTATGGTTTTTGTTATCTCTCCCTCTCTCTGAGGTGGCTTCCAGACTGTAGAATCGTGTCATTGGAATGCTGTCAGACAGCCCTCGAGTTGTGTGTGTGTGTGTGTGTGTGTGTGCCACAGGAGGTTGGTGGCACCTTAATTGGGGAGAACGGGCTCTTGGTAATGGCTGGAGCGGAATCAGTGGAATGGTATCAAATACATCACACATGGTTTCCATGTCATTCCATTTCCGCCGTTCCAGCCATTATTATGAGCCGTCCTCCCCTCAGCAGCCTCCACTGGTGAGAGAGAGTGAGTGAGAGCGGTCTGAGCTTTGTACGGTTTGCAATGCACAAGAACAAACTGCCTGTAAAATGCTCTCTTTCTCTCCCTCCCTCCCTCTCTCTGTCTCGCTCTCCCTCTCTTTTAAACATACATTTAGTTTAGGTATGTTTCTTGGATCACAAGAAAATTCCCAAAAGTGTGTGGCCGGGTTCTAGCAGCTGAAGACACAGTATGATATAGAGATGATATGTAATAGCCTGGCAGGCAGAACTTGTGGTCACTTCTGTGGGAGTAATTACATTCCATGGTCACTCCCAGCATATATGGAATACCGCAATCCATTCCAGTATTAATGGAATTCCAATGGAAGTCAGCCCTGGTCTACATTACTCACTGGACCACCCGCATTCAAAAATCTCAACTTGGGCGTGACAGGATAATTTTTTACAGGCAAAAGGATCTAGACCACAAAGTAAAAGTTGCAAACATGACAGAAGTAAGTTATTTTGACTGGCAAAAACAGGCTTGATGAAGACCAACTGTGGTCATAACATTGCTACTACATTAAAACTCAACATCAACAGATGTGGGTATCACCCAGATGTATGTGTGTGTTACACCAGTCTAGCTAGGTGTGTGTGTGTTACACTTTTCTAACTACGTGTGTGTGTGTGTTACACCAGTCTAACTACGTGTGTGTGTGTTCCAGGTGACCTGTCCCCAGTGCAGATGTCTCCAGTGCCCCAGTCTCAGTTCATCCCTCTAGCCGAGGTCCTCTGCTGTGTCATCTCTGACATGAACTCCTCCAACATCACCGTCAACCAGGAAGCCCTCATCAGTCACATGACCAAGGCTCACCAAGGTAACATATACAGATGTATGGGGAGAGCTTCAGGGCATATCCTTACATACAGTACATTCAACCACAGGTGCTCCTGCAATAGGGGAATTGTAGTTGGCAAAAAGGGGAGAATGATATCTAGTGTATTAAGTCTAATGCTTAGTCTCAACTGGCAGTTTTCAGCCTGGCTGTACATTAGTTGAGTCCATCTGCAGATATACAGTAACTTTTGTGGGATTTAAAGGAGATAAACTGTATTAACTAATGTGGCTGAACCTCTCTCTCTCTCTCTCTCTCTCCCTGCCAGGTATGACCATCCCTACTCAGGACATCCTGTACAACGCTCTGGGCTCGTTGATCAAAGAGAGGAAGATCTACCACACAGGAGAGGGCTACTTCATTGTCACTCCTCAGACCTACTTCATCACCAACAGCCTGGTGAGAGAGAAGAGCTGGTGGACCTCAGGGTCTGGAGACAATGAGCTGCCCTCCCCTCCCCCCATCACCTACCTGCTCAGTAATGACACTCTGGAGAGCCACCCACAGTCCCCCCTGGTGACCCACTGCAAGTCCTGCAGCTGCTTTGCCCCTGCCCATAACGTGACCAATGCTGCTACTACGGCCACTATAGGTGCCACGGTTCCTCCATCCGTCCCAGACCAGCACTTGGTTTCTGTTTCTATTAGCGAATGCACAGGGAAGAGCCTGAAGTGGCCTAGAGACCACAAGCCTCAAGTCCAGCACCAGTCGACCTCGACGGCCGCAGACTACCAGATTAGTGAGGTCAGCAAGACCACTACGGCTACCACCACTGCCACTAGCCGTAAGGACAAAGACAAAGATGGCAAGGAGAAACCAGGGAGGAGGTTTGGCCTCAGCCTCTTCAGGAGGAACGGAGGGAAGAAGGAGAAAGTGAAGAAAGAGTACGCCTTGTTCTCAGGTCAGTTCCCTCCAGAGGAGTGGCCGGTGAGGGACGAGGAGGATCTGAACAATCTGCCCAGAGACCTGGAGCACGCCATTATCAGACGCATCAACCCTGAGCTCACTGTTGACAACCTGACACGCCACACTGTACTAATGAAGAAACTGGAGGAGAGAGGAGGGGAGAGAGGGATGGAAACGGAAAGACGAGGGGAAAGAGGGGTGGAAAGGGATAGAGGGTTGCACAAGGGGGACAGGGTAGACGGAGGGGACAAGTGTGTGGACAAGGGCATGTCCACTGAGATCCTAAACCGCTCCAAGCCCAGACACCACCACTCCTCTCGGGCCGGACTAGGAGCAGGGGCTGGGGGCAGGAGATCTACCTCCAAGGCCTCTCGCAGTAAGAGGAGGGCCCATTCCTCCAAGGAGAAACGGAGAGACAGGCAGAAGACTAAGGCCCCAGTGTGTGTGGATGTGGACCCAGACAGGGATGACCTGGTCTCCTCTTGCCTCAGACCAGAGGTCCCTATTGATGAAACAGACCACAGAGAGGAGCCAGGAGCGGTGGAGGGGAAAAGCCTCTATAAGAAACGCATTGACAACCCCTTTGATGGTCAACCACCTGGGAAAGATACAGCCACAACCCAGACTGTGGCACCTACCATGACCCACAAAGAACAGAGGAGGAGAGAGGGAAAGGAAGTGAAGGAGGGGAAAGAGGGAAAGACTTCAGGGGGAGGGAGGAGAGAACTAGCGGGACACCGCTCCAAATCCTGGGACCCGCACAAAGCGAAAGCAACTGCTGCTGACACACAGCATGCTGGGAAGTCTCGTACAGCCGAGGACAGGTCATGTGACCGTCTCCACGAGAGGGGGTTCACCACCGAACCCCTCCTCCTGGCCCTCTCTGACACCAAACCACCCAGAGAATTACCGTTAGACTACAGCTCGTCCTACCCCCAGAGCAGCACACTAAGGATTGACGACAAGGTTAGATATCAGAGGGAGGGAAAGAACAGAGGGAGGAAGAGCAAGGAGGGAGGGAAGGAGAAGGAAGGAAAGCATAGGATGACACAGCAAGTAGAATATGGCAGTACAACGGACCATAGACACCCAGCAGTAACAAGCCAAACCCTGGATTCTGATGCCAACCTCCCTAGTACCCATCCCTATAACTCAGTCCCTGCCCACCCGTACGACCAGGCCATGCCTTGGCCAAAGCCTGCTGTGCATCGCAGGCACTCCTTCAAACACACAGACACACAGGGAGACCTAACCCACAGGCCTGACCTGCTCTCCTCTCACCAACAGGCCTGCAGTACCACCCCCAAACAGCATGGGCTGGTACACAGCAGTGGTGGCAGTAGAGAGCACAGGAGTCCAGGGCATGGGCAGAGGGACAGTGATGGGTTAGTAGTGGAGAGGAATGGCATTATGATAGAGAGTGATGAGTTTATAGAAGATGATCACAGGCTTTACCAGAGAGCAGAGGAAGAAGATGAGGATGCCTGTAGTTCTCTGTATCTGAGTGAGGAGGGAGTCATTGACAACAGAGAGGTCTATCAAACACGCATGTCTCGCTATCATGACTCTCAATCCCTCTACCATGATCCTAAGACCATATACCAAGACACTATCACCCACTACCACGACCAACCTAACTCCCCTTACCACGAGCCCCAACCCCACTGCCCCAACCCCCATTCCCTCCAAGGAGACTGGAACAGCACTTATCCGGAGGAACACTCTTCCACCATCCACCAAGACCCCCCTCTGTCCCCCCACAGCCAGGAAGAGGAGAGGTGGGTCAGGGTGAGCGGCTCTAACCTTAACCACCGCAGCCACCCATCCCCAGGTACCCACAGCGATCCCATCCCCAGACGAGGAGATCCAATCCCGGGGGAGCGAAGGCAGGACTCCATCCTCTCCCTGAAAGCTCTAGAGGGTTTGGCGCCTCCTGAGGCGGCAGACAGCAGCATCTTTGACTACTGCCAGACCAGTGAGGTGGAGTCGGATGCTGAGACCCTCCATAAATCAGCAGACGAGGGGGACAGGGAGTCGTCTCACTGGGGGTGCGGAGTAGAGGAGGAGGAAGAAAAGGGTGGCTTTGAGACCCTGGGGGAGAGAGGAGGCCCTCAGACCTCAAGCGCCAGTATGGTCATGCCCAGTGGAACTGGACGGGGAGAGATAATGGGGGAGGCGGGGGAGAGTCAGAGCAACATGGGAGACAGCGGGATAGACTCGCCACGGTGAGTTTCTTTCTCTGTATTAAAATGTTGATGATCATCGTAACTTTTTTTTATGGATTGCAGTTATACCACTTTTCACAAAAGGTCTCATTATATTTTGTGGAGTGATTGTGACAATTTGTCACTAGCAAGGTATTATTAAATGACCATGATATTCATCAGCATTAGTCTATTTTACAAAAGACAAAGGACTATGCCCCAGGAATGGCCTTCATTTGTAGTGTAATCTCAGTAGAACTCTTCTAGGCAGCAGTACCTATCCTGCTCCCATCCTCTCCTGTGTGAGGTCCCAGTCAACCAGAAAACAGAACAGAGGCACTTGGCCCTTAAATCCCCCGTTTATTTGTCTTCTCGCCTGCGGCCTCGACCCCTATCTCCAGCTGTAACCCTCTCTCTGTGGCTGAGATAGAGGCTACAGAGCCTATAGTGCTGGCCCAGGGAGGGTGGAGGAATGTGGAGATGCAGAAAATAAGCTACGGCAGGGAGTAGTTAGATGACCAATGACCCTGGTCGGTGGTGACTTCTCTCTCTTCCCTTTTCATGTAAATGGTGATAAAGCTGAACAAACACCCCATAGCCAATTACACCAGGCAGTATTTAGACAGAGGGGAATGATTATAGTGATTAATGTAATTACTTTGGAATGGGTACACCCTCATGTTTAAAACAGAGAGAGGGGAAAAGGGAAAATGTTTTTCCATTAACTTTATAAGGACTTGGCTTTTTCCCTTTTGTGGTGAAGAGCAGAGTTTTTTTCATCTGGATTTCACAGTATAGTTAGTGTGTGTGGGTGTGTGACTATCAGTGTATTGCATATTGTATTTATATCCAACTGATATGGTTAATCTCCCCAGTCCCAACAGGACCGGTTTGTGTTTGTGTGCACACGCGTGTCCATTTTATAATAATTTATATTTATACTATGCATTTACACCCTGTTCTTCTATGTTACTCCCTACAGGACTCGTGTGAGTCTGGCAACCAACAACACAGTGATTCTGGAGGGTCTAAAGAGGAGAGGTTTCCTACAGAACCTGGAGAAACTGCACTCTAAGAGCTCAGCCATGCGACCACAGAGCTCTCTGCTACAGCTCACACCAGTCATGAACGTATGAGACCATAGGCCCCCTGATGCAGCTCCGTGGGAGGGATCATGAGCTCCCTGATGCAGCTCTGTGAGGGACTATGAGCTCCCTGATGCATCTCCGTGTTAGGGCCCATGAGTCCCCTGATGCAGCTCCCTCTGTTCTACCACCGAAAAGCATGGGAAGTAGGAACACTATGCTATCAGATATGGGGTACACATACCCAGTCTTTATGGACTTACAGCATCTATTTGTTTCACTGCTGTCATAAATCTGCTGTGAACCTCTAACTTTTCCTCATTGTCTAGCCTGGTTATATATCCTGTCCTCCAGGGCTACAGTGTATATTAGCAAGTCATGGGTGCTCAACTCCAGACCTACCCCAGTGGAGGTCTTTGTACAGGTGTATAGTCTATTTTTCCCATTCTGTATATAGCATTTAACAAGAATATCCTGAGAGACGTATTTGGCTGCGTTAAACGCATGATCAATCGATAGGTGGTATGGATGTAAGAGGTTGTACTCTGAGTTACCTTTGTTTTTCACTACATTCAACTTGGCCTGAAATGACAAAATAACTCAGATACAGGTTAAAGATCCAGTACTTCATTTTCATACCTTTCCTTGTCACCATGTGTAACACAAATAAATCTTTATGTACCACAAGCCACCTCCTCACTGAATGTGTCAGATGACATGTGTACACTCACAAGAAAATAAGGTGACACTACTACTACCTACCTTTTCACCTGAAATGACTAGATTTACAAGAGGAATTCCAATGAAAGGCAAAGAAGTTTATTCACATCACTCAGGAAAGGCTGGTACAAACCTGAGCCTGGCAGACAGCTGATAAGCTAAGCCTTGGGTGTTGGTGGAGGCTCCAGTGAAGAGGTGGACATGGAAGACAAACCCCAGCCATGTCATCCCGTCTCTGGGGGAGCTAGGGTTAGGAGTGTGGGATGGGTGGAGGAATGGGAGGTGGTTTAGTGTTATCTGAAGGCTAGGTGATTGTGTGTTGACATTTTTGAATAGGCCATTGTAGTAAAGTCCCAACGTTGATCAACTAGGGCTGTTGCGGTGACCATATTACTGCCACACCAGCAGTCATGAGTCATGACCACAGTCAAATTCCATGTGACTGTTGAGTCATGGTAATTTCTTGTTATGCACTCTGGACATGCTTTGGTAGTACAGGTCCTAATGGCCTGGTTCTAAGGGCTCTATTGTCCCTCTAACCACTCTGACATCAATGCAATCGAAACTCACATCAAAACAGTATCATGCTTTTAAAACTCACCTCACTGTGGTAATCAATTTGAAGAAAGAAGTTCAACAGCAGGTTGAAACTGAGTGGAAAACATGGTCATTGTAGATGTTGTTTCAAAGCCTAACACAACGAAATGGACAGCGCTTTCTAAGGTGATGATTAATTAAAAACACCCATACCCATACAATACCTAACCTACCGCATATTATGCATGGAAGAAAAACATCAAACAAAACTGATTTAAGATATCTTTGGTACATAATTGGTGTAATCTATACTCCATAATTAAACACATTTGAGTAATCGCCTTTGAGTGTGGACTGTATTATTATGCGTACTGGATGGACTTAAATTAGGGTTGGACTGAAAACCTACAGGACAGTAGATCTCCAGGAAGAGGGTTGGGCAGCCCTGCCTTATGCTATGCTCCAAGAGTCTGGGAGAGAAGGTATAGCCCTAGGCCCTGGAGATCTACTGTCCTGTAAGTTTTCAGTCCAACCCTCATTTAGCATATCTGATTCAGCTAGTTAAGGTCTTGTTGAGCAGCTAATAAGTAGAATCAGGTGTGTTAAATTAGAGGGTTGGGCAGCCCTGCTCTTGGCGATGCAGTTGGTTTATTGATTGTGCAGGGCGATTTTGAATAGCCTAGTAATTAGGAAGTTTTGATATTTGCATAATTAATTGGGTGACACATTACCTTTAGCTCTACATAATTTCTCACCACCATGCGTTTCCATCTCCTATCTCGCCTTTATTTATGTGTCGAGCGCGCAGAGGGGCTGTCAACAGTTTATTTAAATATGTTTCGTTGTGAAAACATGTTCCCGAACAGATTTCACTTGGTTTCCCAATATGGCAATATGTAACTTTTTTGGCGACCCGACCTAATTCACATAGAAATGTGAGTTATAGACCTATCATTCTACTTGAAAGCAAGTCTAAGAAGCGGTAGCTCTGTGTGCTATTTATATGCTTCCCATAAGGTTTTTGTTTTTCATCTTTAACTTTCTGATTTTGTACACCAGCTGAAACAATAATATTTTCCCTTACAAAAAAAGAGTGCAGTATGCTGCAAATACTGTGTCCAAAATAACACCATACTGTAATAATAATAATAATAATATGCCATTTAGCAGACGCTTTTATCCAAAGCGACTTACAGTCATGTGTGCATAAATTTTTACTTATGCACTCTGACTGCAATCTTTTTTCGTAAGGGTTTGGTTATGGAAAATATATTTCACTGCGGCTTAGCTGGTACAATGATTATCTACACTATACTATGCTATTTTGTCACAGAAACTGAAATTAGGTGAACTATTAGCGTTTTGGCAACCAGGAAACGGTGGAGCGATTTCTGCATAGTGCAACTTTAAGCACTGGGTAGCTGCAGGAACAGGGTTGGAGAGCCCGTGGCATACAGAGTTTGGGCGGAATATCACCTGTCGCGCAGCAAGAGAATGCTCCTCAAACAGTGGTTGATGCGTGGAGTGAAATAAGTGTTATATTTATTTCTCAGCTGCTCATATTACGCACATGCTCCGCTATAAAACCGAAGTTGCATCATTGAAAAACGGACCCGTGGGAAAGTGAGCGGCCTCCATTCACTATTTGAGTGCATACAGATAACATGTATTTTTCCCCCTGCTCTTGTTCCTGCCCACTTGATTATGGCTCATTCTAAATCGAAACAGATTTTTACATATTAGTAAAGACGAGATGAATTGAGAATAGTCTGATGGGGGAAAATACGATCACTTGATGAGAGAACAGCTGTGCAGCATGAGGCAAGGAACCGAGTGCAAGCTTTTTTTGCTACTTTCTCAAATCATCAATAGCCTATAGTCGCATCATGCAGGCCATATATATTTTGATTCCTAAGACATTATAAGGTTTGTATCATTCACAACTAAAGTTGCCAAATAACTCAATCTTTCATATAGGAGGACCAGCTTTAAATGATCACCTTTATGCTCGACATAGCCACTTCCTATGCGCACTCGTTCCGGAATGGGAAAAATATCCTTAGTCTTTTATTCAGCTTAGTTCAATATATTATTCCTACTATAAAATCATATAATGTAAAATAATGGCATGACTTATAAGCATATGTTTTCAGCTAAACAAACAAGCATACAGCATGGAGCATAGCTAGATAACATACAGTAGGCCAACTCATTCTGTTCTTATGGAATATATTTTCTTCATATCATCATGTTTCTTTAGACCTGACTAAAATAAATAATGGATTTATTGTGAGGGTGTATATTAAATTGATTTATTATACTTTTTTTAATGTAGATGTTGCAAAAGCGCGCATCAGCGGCTTGTATGCATGGAGGCCTGGAGATACTAAATGTGTTTATGTTAATTAGCCTAATGCGTCAATTACCGTGAGACCGGCAGTCTTTTGCATGACAATAACCGGCTGACAAAATATCATGCTGCCACGCCCTAACTACAACTACAAGGGAAGGCTATCATTTTCTTGTATGATTTAGGACTGAATTAAATCTATAACCTATAGCAGAAGTATGGCGGAGGATCCCATGTATTAAAGCTCAATTGAAATTTAAAGGCAATGTTCCAGCATTTGGGGGACTGCATTCAAGGTAAATGCTGCATATTTCAGCCCAATCAGAAATTACCTTTACATTTTAAGGTGGATCTTCTGTGATACAGATTGAATCCAGCTCTTAAAGTGTCTGTCCTGTGTTCCAGATTTCAATGAAATATTTACCACATTTTTTTTACAATATGGATTTAATAATATCCTTCAAAAAATTATAATTAAGGATGTTAAAACGTTTTTCTCTGTGCCCCTTTGCCTGAGGGGAAATAACAGAGTGGTTTGAGCATATATAGGAAAAAAAGCTGATTTGCCAGCTCAGCCAATGAGAGGTGCATACACTTGGTTCTTCAAATGAGCTACAAACTCCAAGCTTGCCATTCTTCAAAAACAGTACGAAAGTACTTCCTACTTCCAGTTGCAAGTCCCATACTGTTTTTGAATGGGCTTCAAGCTTATATTATCGAATTAATGAAAACGCGGTGATATAAGATATCTATAAAATTATATTTGTATTCGTGTACTGATTTGCTTTTATCAAAATATTTATTTTATATTCGACTACGCTGTTTTTTTTTTTTTTTTACTGAACAGTACTTTCTGAAAATGACATAAATTACTTTTTATGTAGACTCGCAAGGTGTTGAAAGTGGGACAAATACATCTGGTGGAAGTTGTAGTTCATTCAGTAGTTCTAATGTAACTTTTCGGCTTCATACTTCTTCTTGGCCATGAAATACATTGAAAACCGGCATATGGTAAATTAATTCACTCGGAAACGCATATACATTGTAATATACAGTACCAGTCAAAAGTTTGGAAACACCTACTCATTCCATGGTTTTTCTTTATTTTTACTATTTTCTACATTGTAGAATAATAGTGAAGACATGAAAACTATGAAATACATATGGAATCATGTAGTAATCAAAAAAGTGTTAAACAAATCAAAATATGTTATATTTGAGATTCTTCAAAGTAGCCATCCTTTGCCTTGATGACAGCTTTGCACACTCTTGGCATTCTCTCAACCAGCTTCACCTGGAATGCTTTTCCAACAGTCTTGAAGGAGTTCCCACATATCCTGAGCACTTGTTGGCTGCTTTTCCTTCACTCTGCGGTCCAACTCATCCCAAACCATCTCAATTGGGTTGATGCCGGGTGATTGTGGGGGCCAGGTCATCTGATGCA